ATCTATATTTCCTACCTCTTCCCTCTGTCCTTCTGATCCTCACTCACTCTCTCAAGACACACGCAAAACACCACACACCCATAATTTCTCTCCATCTCCTCTGCTTCTCTCCACCACAGTTATCTTTCTCTACCTTTTTCTTTTCCCCTCTCTTCCCATCTTTTCTCTCACACAATCATGTGCCTCTATCATCCCCAACCATAATCCCACCCCCTTGCACATAAAGTGTTTGTTGAAATGCCTCAAAAAATAGTTTTCCCTGCTCGAGTTGAAACATCCATCTTTCCACATGCCTTTTTTTTTCCTCTCCTCTCCTCTCTTTCTCTCACATAGTCACACGTCGTCACCAACCATAATCCCACCCTCTTTCCTTGCACATAAAGTGTTTGTTCTTTCCCGTAGGTTGAAATCACTTTCGAACAGGCCCATCTTCTCACCGAGAAATCACTTTCGAATGGGCAGGTGATTAGCATTATAAAAGCAAAATTGGTTGATTTGTTTGCTGAAAAGATGGTGCATGATAGAAGAACTGATAAAGAATGATAAAGCAGAATCAGACTTTATAGTATATCAGGCGAACTTAATGTTAGTAAATTTGAAAGGAGCTGAGATTTATGGAATAGAACTGATAGGGAAAAAACCAGTTTATGCGAATTAGTGTTGCTGGAGTTGGGGATGAGGTGGTTGTCTTGGTGCTCCCAGGTCAAGAAAATGGTAAAGGTAGAAGTGGACGAACAGTGAGTGTTACCTGCTTGATATTGAGACCCAATTCACCTTCTTATTTTAATTGCTAAAAATTAAATTTGTTTAATGTAATTCTATCCGTTAATTTTTTGTTTATCAATACTTGATATGCATAACAAAACACATCAACATGGGTGAGTGGCATTACATTTACGGGTTGAACATATTTTTTTGTGAATTATGATGCAAATTATTTTCTATATTTACATGAATCGACCCATAAATGTTATGGAAAAATTTCATTATTGACCAATTGAGTTTCACGTAGTGTTTTTTGTTGAAGTGTAATTGTAGGTTTTCCTAAATGTTGAATTAATTTGAATTGACATGTAATTCATGGGATGCCTTTTTTTTTATTAGTTAGAATGCTAGATACTTGAATGATATATGGGTTGATCTAATAAGTGGTGTTTATAATTGGTGAAGAGAAATGCTGGTTAATTTATGGGAGTTGTATTCAGTTCTTATGTTAAATGCTGGAGTTTTTCCCGTGGTGTAGGTTGGATTGTTTTACCTATGGGTGTAGGGTGTATGGTTTTTGTTATGGTTGAAGGGGCTATGGTGTTTATGTTTTGTAATTTTAAAAATTCAGATAATGATCGGTTGAAAATGGGTTTCTTTGGTATATAGTTGGTTGCTAAACAATGCCCCTCTCTCTCTATCTCCCTCTCATGTCTGTGGTCATGGTTGGGTTGCACTTGGCAAGTGATTAAAATGATTGTTTTGATTGCCACTGTGGTAACAAGATTATATGTGTAAAATCATTTAAATTTTTCCTCAATTCCTTCCTCCCATATTGATTAACTATGAGTGTGTGCTCTTATCATTTCATTCCTTGTGTGACTAATTTGTTCACGTTGTGTATGGAAGAGCTTTTTTTGTGGATGGAGAACTCAAACTTATACTTTCTCTTCATAGGTTCTAAGTGTCCCAATTAACTGTTTTCTCTTTCCTAAATATTTTATCACATAAGAATTATTTCTCTTCATAGGTTTTACATATTAAACTAACAGTAGATAATTATTTTTGTTTTTTACATAAGGAGGGTATTTATTTAATTTTTTTAAAACTTGATTAAACTATGTGATACTTTCTCTTACTATGAAATTGTGTTACCTATTTGAGCTAAGTAGTTTTAGCGGATTGGAGGCTTAGATGACTCCTTGAATAATGAATGATGACATCTACAGTATTTTAGAATTTAGAGTTTGATTTATAGGATTAGTACTTTAGTGCTTTGGACTTAATTCTTTAGTGTAGGAATAATTTTCTAAAATAATAAAGTCATAATATTATACTTTGGTTGTTGTAGAATCTTATGAACATTACTTTTGTTGTTGTAGAATCCTACGAACATTAGTTTGTTTTTGCCTATTCCTTTTAAGTCTACTGTGAATTATTTTTTAGTTGCGTTGGTCAACTGTTGAATTATAGTTTTTTTTTTTTGATTCCGGGGTTGGTATGGCATAATTAACTAGATTAACAAAAAATTGAAAAATTGGTAACTTTGTTACTGATTGTTGTTGAATTTTTTATATACCCTTGCAAGGTTTTTTTTATTGGCATACTATTATTGAGATGAATAATTGATATTTTTGCATTATTTGCATGTCAAATGAGCATGGTGGTGTACATTATTGTGAGCCTTTTTTGCTTTATTACCATTTTAACGATTGTTGTAGTTCAATTTTTACTTTCAATTGACGATAGTTAGGACAATTCACGAATGCTGGTTTTTTTTATAAGTACATTTTTTTTCCTTAGCCTGCATCGTTAATAAAATGTAGTATCTTAATATTGAAGTTTGAGACTTTCTTGGCCGGAAGTATTTTCACATGTTTGAGATATTTAGGTACGAATAATTTTATGATTGTTTACAAGCAAGTTGTTTAGTTAATCCTCTTTTTAATTTTGTATTTTCTTTTATATTTTATATTTATTTTTAATTTTATTGATGTGCTTGATCACATCTGTTTAGTGTTGAAAAATTAGGTATTGTCGCGTTTAGTTATTTTGTTTTTCTTTTGCTATGTTTCCTTACTGTTGAAATTTTTGGTGGTTGAATCTGGTTGGCTTCTTTGTATTATTGGTTGATACTAAGTCACTATGTTGTCTTTGGATTGTGTAATTACTGTTACAAGTTGATTAAATATTGGTGATTTTTTGTTATTCAACATAACACAGTGCTTTTCAGCACGGACATTTCTTTTACTGATCTTGCAAGTTGATTTTTAAATAAATATTTTTGAGCACTATTATTAGTTCTAATTAGGTATATGATTTCAAACATAAGAATTTTATGTTTTTTTCAGTTTAAATTTATGACATTTTGATTATTAAGGTTAGGTTTTCTCCATCTCTCTATGCAATTTGTCTTCAATAGATAATACTTTGTTGATTATGTATACAAAGTGTGGTATTTAAAGGATGTGATTTAAATTTTCAGCTTATTGCGGTCATTTTCAGTGTTTGATTATTTCTAGTCCACAATCAATGTTCGATTTTTTGTTGAATTGGACCGTGCCATAATAAAACAACTACTACTTTGAAATTTTATACCCTATATATTTTCTCCCCAAAATCTGTCTCTGTCAAGTGCTCTTCCCCAAAATTCACTCCCTGTCTCTCCTTCCTCTCATCCAACTGTTAACCCCTCTGCCTCATCTCATGCTTCTTTCTTCCCTGTTTGTGCAAACAGGCCCATCATGATGGAGAGCCACAATAACCACAAATCTACTCCTCGTTTGCTCTCACTCTCGAGGCATCTCCCTCTTTTTTCTCCTTTTCCCCCTCTCTCCTCCATACCCTACTGGCGTCGCCAACACCAGCAGTAGCGACATTGCTAGCAACGACGCCAAAGTACCCACCACCGCTCTTCTCTCACTCTCCAGGTACCTCTCTATCTCTCTCCCCTCTTGCTTTCTCTCTGTCTCCCTCTTTCCTTTTCTTTCTCTTCCAATCATATAGCACATGAAGTGTTTGTTGAAATGTCATAGAAAAGGATTCCGGCTGACTTGGCGGCACCGAGCCCCAGTAACCTTTACCTCTCTTTGCTAACAAGACCCTTTTCTAAGGCAATCCCACATCGAAAGAGAGTCGTCTTCCCTCCTCGCATATAAGCCCTTGCACTCAAAGGAGGAGGTACCCACTAAGGGCTAGTGGGTACCTCCTCCTTTAAGTGCAAAGGCTTATATGCGAGGGGGGGGGGGGAAGACGACTCTCTTCCGATGTGGGATTGTCTTATAAAAGGGTCCTATTGGCGAAGAGAGGTAAAGGCTACTGGGGCTCGGTATTGTCAGGTCAGCCGAAATCCTTCGAGTGGAAGGCTGAAATCCCGTAACCATTTCTATTCCTTACACTAATATTTTATTTGAATTTAATCGGATTGATTACAATTTTTGAATTAACATTAAGTTTCACATACATAACATTGGAACCAAAAAAATTCCAAAAAAATAGGTAGAATTATATTTTGTACCCTGAAAGATTTAAAAATTCTCACTTTACAACTCAAAGATTAAATTTTTCATATTCCACTCCTCGATGTATCAAAAGTGTTATAATATAGTCCTTCTGTTTTTTTTATTAGTGTTAATAGGGTGATTTTTAACAAAAAAAAATAACTTAATCGAATAGAAAGATCATATTATAATATTTTTGATATATTAATGGTACAATATAAATAATTTAATTTTTGAGTGTACAAAATGAAAATATTTAAATCTTTCAGGGTGTAAAGTACAATTCACCCCAAAAAAAATATATAACCTATCTTTTTTCTTCAATTCTTGGGTGTTGTCTTCTCTAATAAATTATACTTTGATCCCGATAATGATGCCTCAATCTCACTTTGTCTATTGAGTTATTGAATTTATCATATTGCCCTTTAAATAATTTTGCATTGACCCCAAAAACAAGCACCCACTAACTCTTAACGAATGTTGAAGTTGCCGTGCAAGGAAATCAAAGTATTATTTATCTTTTTGTCTATTACCTACAGAACAGAACTTACCAAGTATTCTGAACTTTCACAGAATTTGGAAGCCAATACTTGAAAGCATCAAGTGCAGAACTCGTAGTTAACAAGGAATTTCTGCAAGGATACAAAAGTGTTATTAATTCAAAGGCCACTGAAGAATCTTTGGTGCGTAAGAATCGAAGCCCGGTCACTATTTAGTATTTACATCAACAAATTAATTCAAATCCCACTTATTTCAAATATTAAAAATACTCGATCCGCAGGCGAATTTCGCAAAATGGGAGCCGCGCCATGGCATGTTCAGGTACCGGTTTCCTTGGGAAAAATACTTGGAAGTTGGAAACCTCACTCGACAATGTGCCTTCCGATAAATGGCTACCTGAACTCTGAGATTCAGGTACTTCTAAGTGCATTCGAGTTTCTGCATGACATTCTAAATCTTATCTGGCATGTATTTTAATATTGTAATATAGGAAGTACGGCTACGGATACAAGAGAGAGAGAGAGAAGAGAGAGAGAGAGAGAGAGAGTACGGTTAACACAATGCAATTTTATGCTACTCTTACAGGTGCCACAAGAAATTGGAGCGAAAATCCAAGAAATATGCAAAAAGATGACCTCAGAAACTAGATTGGCTTTGAAAGAAGTAGCATTGGGCATGAGGACAATGACTAGGCCGTCCTCCTCTGCTGATTCCCATATTGAGAATGCAAGAACGGAAGCAAAACACCTCAAATCCTTGCTTAAAACAAGGTCGTGGCCAGACAGTACTGATCTGCTGGACATAGTTCCGGTCGCTGCTGTAGCTTCATTGCTCATAGACATTGTCGCCTGCACAGAGAAAATTGCCGATACTGTTAAAGAACTTGCTCCTCTCGCACACTTCAAGGCTGCAGTAGTAACAGCTGGTCAGCAAAAACAATTGAGCCGCCAACAAACTCATGGCAGAGAAGAAACACATCACATTATTACCATGGGTGCATCATCTCCTGAGTAAACCCAGAAAATGTTTATGAATCACTGTCAAATACAGGACCATGAATGGATGCTTGGCTGATATGGCATTTAGGGTAGGGAGAAGAAGTATATGTATCTGATATTGAAAGGCATTAAATACGGTTGGATACGTATCTGATATTTATGTATCTGATGTATAAAATATTTTTTTATAGTGCATACAAGGGGCGGAGCCACCTTGGGATGGGGTGGGCACTGGCCCGGACTTTTGTATTACCTATGATTAAGTTCCCGTAATGTTATTCAGTGTACTATATTTTTGCCTCCTAAATTTTTAAAATTTTTTATTAAAGTATTAGTCTTTTTTTTTTCAATAAATTAGTGGTCTATTACCCTTTATTTTTTTATCTTTTGGAGTGAGTAAATTAGATATAAATATTATGATCTACTTATATATATATTAAAAAAAAGATAATAATTCTATTATATTTAATACAATATTTCCTAGTTTTTTGAAACAATTGTATATTTGTCATTTGTTATTCTTCCGTTTGTTTGAAATCTATAGTTAATAAAATAGGATTGAATGCAAAAAGTTATATGTTATAACCCAAAAGTATTTTTTGTTATTTTAAATATAAAATTTCTCAATAAACATGAGAATTCTAGCTCATACAATTAAACAAGAAAATTGTATTTCACTGTAATATAATTAAAACATATCAAGAAAAAGTTATTTTGTGTCTTTTTGTTTAATTTTTTTTAATAAAAAAAAATTACTATTTCAATAATTTTGTCTCAAATTTTAGTCTATTTAGTCAATTTTGTACTCAATTTTTTCAATATCAACTAGTTAATTATTTTCAGTTATATTTTATCCCCTGAATTGAATTCCTACCTCCGTCCCTAGTGGAAATGCTGAGATACGAGAGATAACCGCTAGAATACGGATATCGATATGACAAACAATCTATCCATTAGTAGAAAAATAAAAACTCCATTGCAGACCATTAGTTTCTATCAACAAAAAAATTTAAAAATAATTTCTTGGATAGCCAACAACATGGCAAATCATTGTACAAAACCCTAAAGATAAATGTTTCCACTAAATAAACAAGAGAAGTTTTAATCTCTCTTTTTCCTTCTCATTCTCGAGTTTCTCTCCCGGTTTCAAATCATTGACCACAACTATGTCGATCGAAACTTTGTTCACCACGACTGCTATTCACGAAAAAAAAAGTATGATATAGATATTTAGTGTAGATAAGGAGTGCGGTGATCAACAGTAAGGTGAGGCAAACGACGAAGAGCTAACGAGTGGGTAAAACAAGGTGTAGTGCATCTGGTTAGCGTTTTTGTTTAGGTTTGAATCCTTTCACCTTGGTGTGGCAAATTGAAAATTTTGGAGTGGTTCTTGCTCTAATTGCAGAGAATCCCTTAAAAACCCAGGGTAAAATTAGACTAGGAGTAGGTGTGTAGACAATCAATCTAATAATACTTCTTACGGATAAGTGTTTTAAGTCATTCGATCAGGGACATTAGCTATCTTTTTTTTGAATTTGTGGTGGGATGCAAGAAACTCCATCTATACCACAGCTTAAGACGAGACACCTGAGAGGCAGCAAGCATAGTGTACAGGGCGGGAGTCATAGTTCCAATATCAACAAATTAGAACTATTGGTGGCCATGAAGGACACGGAGCGTTTAGGCTAATGGAACTACTAGTAGTCAACTACACTCCTTGACTATTTATACGCTGACTGAACTTGTTTCATAGGCAAGACTCGTTCTGTAGTACACTTCGGGCGAAGCTGAAGCCCAATTCCTTAACCCTGTCGATTTCACATCATTGACCATGGTTTCCTTCTCAGTTCCCCAATGTTGTCACTTTAGAAAAATAATTTTGAAATAAATTTTGTACTATTGAATTAAAGTATATAAAAATTGAATTAATCTTAACCGTTGTTTTGTGTTTATAATTTAAGAATTTAACTTTCTAAATTTAATTTGTTAAGATGTAAAAGTTAACGTGATCTAATTACGAATATTGGAATTTTTATTGGAATCATATCATTTCGCATATCATCTGCTCAAAAACTAAAATATTAAAATTTATATGTGAGTTAAAATTTATACTATATATTACTAATAAAAGTATCTTAACATGAAAATTTTTTGATTATTTTGCCCTTATAAAAAATTATAAAGACTAACATATCCTTTTATATTTAAATATACAAATTACTATTATATCTCTTTGTATTTAAATAATAAATTAATCTCGAACATATCATGCAAAACTCTCTATCTTTACAAAACTTTTGAATGATCATGTTATGCAAAAATATTTTCACATGAAAATTTTTTGATTTACTATTTTACCCTTATAAAAAACTATAAAAGCTAACATGTCCTTTTATATTTAAATAAGCAAATTACTATTATATCACTTTGTATTTAAATAAAAAAACTAATATCTAACATATCATGCAAATCTCTCTATTTTTATAAAAATTTTGAACAATTATGTTATGCTTAACGTGATTTATAAAATAATATTATTCTTTTTTCTCAAAATTCTAATATTAATATACATTGACAACTCCATTGATGCAATATCAACTCTAATGCCTAAAAACTAAAAATAATTTGGTAAAAAATTATTAATATACAATGTAAAAACAAGAAAAAGAAAAAATCGAGAAAAGAAAAATATATAAACTTTACTACTTTGTAGCTCAAATGAAAGAATTATAGAAAAATGAGTTCATTTGATGTTTATAGTTAAGAATAGAATAAAAACAATTTAAGTATAAAAAATATTATATAATATCTAATGTAACTAAATAATTAAATTTTTTTATATATTTCATCAAATATTTCCGCAAAAATTTTTATGTGCACGTCATGCATTGCTAATTTTACTAAAAACCCCTTGCACAATAAATTTGTAGAGTTTTTACCTCCATTCACCCCACTCGTCCCCACTTATTACGACTAGTATAGTAAATGTCCTACCTCAAATTGAAGGTGTTAGAAAGACTTGTGTATGATTTTTTAGAAAAACGAACAAAAGTGCACTTTTTTCACGCAGAACAAACAAACTGTTAGAGACAGGGGTTGATCGGTCGAAAACACTCTGATGCTTAATGCTAGAATCATATTTGTAATTAGTCAATTTCGTGAATATTTATAAATCTTAATCTATTACATGGTCATGATAGTACAACATTCAAGATTTGAAAAGGTCAAATGAAGCAAAGAGTTTAAACTACAACGACACATTAAAGATTCTTTAAATGCTTAGGGCAAAGGTAATGGGCTTAGAAACCTTAGCATCCTTGGTTTAATTCTAGAATTGGGATGAATAGGGTAAAAGGGAATCAGTGATTAATCCAGTAATAACTCATAGTTGTTTTTCAAAGAAATTTTTTTAAACCTTTATTGTGTTTTGAAAATATACGATTGAGACATTAATCAGGCCATATTTGAGCAAAACCTTTAGTAATCCATAAGAAAATGTTTGCTTGGTTTCTAGCTTAAAAACTAGTAAGGACGATCTTCACTGCATACTCGTTTAGTCTTTCCCGATTTTACCTTCAAGTGTTTAAAGATCGCTCTAACATTTCCCAATCTCACTTTGCACCTCAAAAGATGCTTCGATTCTCAATTTACACCCTTAATATTATGAATCAGTGGCAATGTGGACATGAGTTGCATGTGCAATCACATAAGGTACCGAGAGTCTCTAAATTTATACATAAGATCATGTCTAAAGCACTTGCACCTCGCATACATGCTTTACTTAATGGCAAAAAATTAAAGACGATTGGATTGAGTCAGGTCTACATTACTATTAATTTAGAACATTGAGGGTACAAATTAAAATTTTTAATGTTTAAAAATTTAAATAAAGAATTAAAATATCTTTCAAGGTACACAATGAGATTAGCCCTAAAATTTTAGACGTTAGTTTGGATAAAGTAAGGGAAAATTGTGTATAGGTACACTATATGCTACTTAATTGTGGAGATGTACCGTGCGGATTCTCCTTTGTGTGTAAGTCCTTCTTTTTGGGAATGTTTTGTGAGTAGATTCACGGTGGCTGTTTTCTAAATATTTCATTTACATAAATGCCATTTTTCATTAATCATGGACTATTTTTTAGGCATTTAATTATGAGATTTAGTTTCCTATTTCAATGAGACTACTGGACAATTTTTTAGGCATTTAATTATGAGATTCAATTTTTTTTTTTGGCATTTAATTGTGGGATTCAGTTTCTTATTTCAATAGGACAACTAGACGATTTGATGATTTATTTTCCTATTTATTTTGGATAGACAGAATAATTTATTATGGATACAATAATCAATTCACTTATTTATTCTGGGTTGATAGATATGAAACCCAACCTCCCACGAGTTTGGTGAAACCCATGTATATAGGTCTGACCGACATTGTTCACCATGGGCTGAGATTTGAATTTCGGATCTCAAATGTGTAAATAAACATGTGTATGATTGATCCATTGGACTATTTTGGTTAAACTCCCTTTATAACCTCCAAACCCAATAACACAAAGAGGCCATTTGAATCATTGCAATATGCACTCTATGTTTTGATGAGTATACTATTTGGACCTAATTTGTCGACTTGATCACTCATAAACATTGGATTAACAGTGAGCCCCAATATTTATTAAAACTCATTATCAATTCAATACTAAGAAACATTAGATCAACAAACAAGCCGATGCATTTTTGGTTGCACAATTTTCATCATGAAGACGAATTTCGGTCGAAATTTAGAAGATTCGAACTCATTTTAGGAATCCCCAAGAGATGTAGCATACTCCATTTTCATGGTCAACAAGCGATTTATGTCAACTACCACCACCCAATAGAAAACATTCAATGAAATGGCGACACAACGTTACTGCTGTCACATGAAGTCACCGTCTAATAACAATGGACGGTGATTTCATGTAGCAAGGATGTCTACGCTCAGTATCCAGGCCCTTCTGTTAGTAACTGGACT